TTATCAACATTTATGGCTTTTCTAAAAACATATATATATTTAACGATCCAATTTGATCATTGATTTATATCAGAATTTATCATAAATATTTAGAGAATAGATAATACGTGTAAAGTGAGGTAAATGATATTTATTATTAATAAACCGAACTCATTAAAGAATCAAGATATAAGCCAATAATTTACAGTTGATGAATCATCAAATTCGAGGAGTACTTTGAGGCCTTCGTTGCTGACTTCGTCTTCAATAATATCCCATATACCTTGGTACTCCTTACATTCGACAAGATGGTCTACGTCTTCCGCCTTCTCTTTGCACACTATACAAGTGTTCGTTTTGTAGACCTCGGGTTTCCTTATATTTAGTATTAAAGAACTTGTACGTACCTGTTCAAATTAAATAGTTAGCAATAAAAGTCTAACGTAATAAAACAGTTTTGGACGAAAAATTCCCAGTACCTTCACTCTACTGTATAATTTCACACGGTTCAATAAACGGCGATATATTTTGTCTTCTAAGCAAGGTCCGTGAGGAGTAAGATCATTTTGAGATTCTTTTGCATAGTGGAGGATATTGACAGTGCTCTAAAGCTACAGGTTGCGATTTTATTAGTGAAACACTATTCTAAAAAGTACTTTAGAATGTATAAATAAGTTACCCGGACAGTTGATTTACACCAGCCAAGTTTCATAAAATTTCGTGTAACACAGCAATGCATATTCACGCGTTTGTAAACAAAATAAAAAGTAACCTGGCGCACTAATAGTAAAATTCTTCTAAAAAAAGTCGAATATTTACAAAGTTTATAGAGCTTGCACCTCCACTCGTGTACTTTAATATTAAATATAAAAAAAAAGCAACATTTAGAATAAAATTGTAAGCTATTATGCAAAATACTTTTATTGCTTTTTTATATCTTTTTTATCCTGTGTTCATCGATATTAATAAATTTTATGATGGGTTATAAAAAATATATAACTTATATCATATTGTCGCGAAATAACGGGCATGGGCGTTATTTATAATAATGGCCCGAATTAAGCTTAATTTAGGCCAAAATTCATAATTTCACCCCTACGCGTTATTTTGCATAAGGTATAAAAAAGTTCTTTAGTAATCAAAAATATTTAATATGCATAACAAAGTATATAGCACCCATTTTTAAGTTACAGGTTGATGATAATGAACTAGAATACATTTTATTGAATTGGTTTGACCAAAAAATACGAAAATACCTCCTTGATTTGTGTACAATTATAACTACCATCTTACGAATAAAACATCAAAGTATATTCTAAAAATATATAAAGTAATAAAAATTTTAATTTTTTAACTTTTTACGCGATTTTTTTCTTTTATTTTTAGTCTTTTTTGCTTCTTGATTTACAATATTTGCAGCAGTTTCAGTTAATTTTCTTTTTTTCGTAGAATTTGGATTTTTAACACTAACAACTGTTAAGTTCGATTTCTTTCCTAAAGTTAATGCTTTTATTTGCGATTCTGCTGCCTCCCAATCTTCTGTTGATCCGCCTATCGTATATCTATAAAGATAATAACAAATCAAATCAATTGAAGATAACTTAAATATAATAAAAATATTTAAGTATTAAAAAAAGAATCACTTTGACAAGTCCAACGAGTCAATCAATTCTCTTTGTTTTTCTTTTATTTGCTTCATAGCCTCATCACCAGCTTCATCTAAATCTTCGTTTAGAGACTTCGATACAGGATCCCATGCAGCATCGTTATTGATTTGAGGACTCGTTATATTATTAATACTTGTTTCTATTGAATCAATGGAAGTGGTGACTACTTTTTTCTTTACTACAGTTGTTTCATGTGGAATTTCTTTTTGAATTTCAGATATTTCCAAAGATCGAAAATATGTAGAAAATTTACGAATAATTTTCATAAATAATGCGAGAACTTGCGCTGAGGGAAGTGTAAGCTCTTTCTAAAGAATATAAAAGCAGAGTAAGAATAATATTACACGTGCCATGATACTGATCATCTTAGACATCATCTTTGAAATCATAAAAATAAAATACCTCCAAATCATCAATACTCTTTTTTTGTAAACCTATACCCAATAATATCGAGCACTGCACGCCAGAAAGTACTACATTTACGCCAAATCGTTTCTCAAAGTATAAATAAGCAATTGCAGGAACAAGATCCATTATTACATGATAATCCAACATATTATTTGAATAAGATTCAAGACGCTTAAGATCATAAACAGAAAATTGCGAATCGAGAATATCTTTTGTGAATTCTGATATAAATCAATGATCAAATTGGATCGTTAAATATATATATGTTTTTAGAAAAGCCATAAATGTTGATAA